TTAGCAGAGAAAGAATGTATTTTGCATATTGACGGACATGAATCTTTGAGGGCCAGAGGGCTGACTGCCGTGGGCTGAATAGTGGTCCTCCAAAGATGTTCATAGCTAATCACCGGAACCAGGGAATGTCTTATCTTACATGGCAAAAAGAACTTTGCAGATGTGATTAAGGTTAAGGAATTTGAGATGGGGAGGCTACTTTGCATTATCTGAGTAGGCCCAATTTAATTACATGAATCCTTAAAAGCAGAGAACCTTTCTCAATTGTGACCAGAATGACGCGATGTGAAAAGGATTTGACACAATGCCACTGGCTTTGGAGATGGAGGAAGGGGGCCATGAATCAAGAAATGTGCAGCCTCTAGAAGCTGGAAAAGAAACATTCTCCCCTGGAGCCTCCAGGAGAGAATTCAGCCAGCTTGCACCTTGATTTTAGCCCAGTGTCTTAGTCATCTAGTGCTGCTATAACACAAATACCACAAGTGGATGGCTTTAACAAAGAGAAGTTTATTTCCTCACAGTAAAGTAGGCTAAAAGTCCAAATTCAGGGCCCCAGCTCCAGGGGAAGGCTTTCTCTGTCAGCCGCCTTCTCATCAGTGTTCCCCCAGACTAGGAGCTTCTCTGTGCAGGGACCCCAGGTCCAAAGGACGCGCTGTGCTCCTGGCATTGCTTTCTTGGTGGTATGAGGTCCCCCTCTCTCTCTGCTCGCTTCTTTTATATTTCAAGAGATTGCCTCAGGATACAATCCAGTCTTGTAGATTGAGTCCTGCCTCACTAACACAACTGCTGCCCATCCTCCCTCACTAACATCACAGAGGCAGGATTTACAACATATAGGAAGATCACACAATACTGGGAATCATGGCCCAGCCAAACTGATACACCCATTTCTGGGGGGATGTAATTCAATCCATGACACCCAGTGAGACCCACGCTGGACTTCAGACCTACAGAGCTATAAGAAAATAAATTTGTCTTGTTTTAAGCCACTGCATTTGCGGTAATTTGTCATGGAAACAATTCAACACTAATACAATGATAATATATTATCAGCTAGCAGTTACTATAACACTACTCCAAGTGTTTCTCATATAATTCACTTAAGAAAGGAAGCTAAAGTACCTCTGAAAGCATACAGCTTTTAGGAGAAAGTATGTCTAAGATTAGTTCTTCCTTGGTCATCTAAACTATCTCCAATTCCTTTTTCCTATGTTCTCTCCTAAACCCTTTCACTCAAATTTCTGTCCCTATCACTCTTTGAAACCACTGTGGAACTTCATGTTGCAAAATCTGTGACCTTCTATGACTTTCAACACGACTTTCGAACCACCCCTCTATTGGTTCTCCTCCTACCTCAGTTGCCATTTTACGCAGTCTTCTTTATTAAATCATCCCCTTCCCAACCTCTAAAATGAGAGGTCTCTAGGGCCTTCTTCATCTACTGGCTTCCTTGGTTGGCACAGTTCATGCTTGACTACTAAAGGCTGGCAATTCAAGCCCATCCAGCAGCGCCACAGAAGGCTGGGCGATCCGCTTCCATAGAGCACAGCCAAAAGAACCCTATGGAGCACATCTACTCTGCAACATATGGGGTCACCATGTGTTGGAATTGAATCGCCGTCAACTTTTTTTTTTTTTTTTTTAATATGCTGATTGATCACTCCCAAATTTCTCTCCACTGAACCTCAGACTCAAATTCAAGTTCTTTGCTTGAATGTCTAATAGGCATTTCAAATTTAACATATCCAACTCCCACAGGCTTCCCCATTGCAGCGTGTCTGGTAAGGTAGAGGGTTAGTGAAAGAGGAAGACCCTGGATGAGGGGGATTGACACAGTGGCTGCAACAATGGGCTCAAGCATAGCAATGATTGTGAGGATGGCGCAGGACCAGGCAGTGTTTTGTTCTGTCGTACACACGGTTGCTATGAGTCAGAGCCAACCCGATGACACCTAACAACAAGAAGCCACTCACTAAATATTTGTTGAAATATATGAACATTTTTAAAATGATGTAACATTGACAAATTACAAGAATTCACTAATGTTAAAATTCTAAGACAACATACACAGCATAGAGCAGTGATTATCAAATACATGCTATAAGTTAACATCACTCTGATTGATAAATGGGCCTCAGTGAGCAGATTCAGCATCATGAGCCTTCAAGACTGAGGTCATTTCTCAAGTGACTTCCCACAGTTCTTAAACATGGTACACCATTTCTTAATGTCAGATTATAAGAAAACTACCATATAAAAAAATTTTTTCTTAATAAGTATGTTGTTGTTGTTAGGTGCCATTGGTTCCGAATCATAGTGAGCATATAGGTCAGAGTAAATTGCCCCATAGGGTTTCCAAGGAACAGCTGGTGGATTTGAACTGCCAACCTTTTGGTTAGCGGCTGAGTTCTTAACCACTATGCCACCAGGGCTCCATAATTAAGTAGTCAATATATTTCATTTTAAAAGGTAATTGCTAGCAACAATCTTTTCCCAACTTATTTTGAAAAATTACAAATCTACAGAAAAGCTGAAAGACCACTCATACACTGTTTCACCTGGATTCAACGATTGCTAACATAGTGCCGTATTTTCTCTCAATCTCTCTCTCATCATACACATGCTTTTTGGTCTGGACTATGAAAGAAATTTGCAAACACTGTGACTTCAAGCCAGATACTTGACTATACCTCTCCTAAGAATAAAAGCATTCTAATAACTGTAATACCATTATCGTACTTGAGAAAATTCACATTAAGTCAACAATGTATGTATTATGCTTCCATGTTTCAATTTTCCCAGTTGTCTTCAAAATGTCCTTTATTTTTAAAAATCCAAAATCCTATCTGGTTCACAGTCTCCTTTAATGTAGATCAGTCCCCCTGCCTATTTTGTTTTGTCTTTCATGGCATTGACATTATTGAAAAGTCTAAATAAATTAATTCTGGATTTCTCTGAGTGTTTCCTCATGATCCCCAAAACCAAACCAAACTCGTTGCCATCGAGTCGATTACCGACTCATAGAGACCCTATAGGACAGAGCAGAACTGCCCCATAGGGTTTCCAAGGAGCAGCTGGTAGATTCGAACTACTGACCTTTTGGTTAGCAGCCAAGCTCTTAACCACTGTGCCACGAGGGCTTCTTCCTCATGATCAGATGCTGGTAAACATTTTTGGTAAGAATGCTACAAAGGTGCACTTCCCACAGCCTCAGTCACAGGCTTATGTTTTACCCAGTATTGGTGATGTTAGCAGTATTTTTTACCTATGGAGCATCTATTGATATTTTTAAAAGGACTAATGTTCCATGGAACACAGTTTAGGGAATACCTGGATAAGAAAAAGAAAAAAGGGAAATGCACTATAAAGTGTTTGAGTTTGTAAAATAAAAAACAGACAAGGATTAAAAACCTGTTTTTTAATTAACAACCATCTTCACTTCCTTAGGTAATGCAAACTGTGCTTTCATAAAACTTAACCCTCATCAAAAAAACAAAAAATCATACAGATGAGCAACCCAAACTCAAAGAAATGAAATAACTTGTCCCAAATCCTATGCTTATTTTGTTCAATAGCTGAGATTTGAAACCAGGTCTGCTTCCATGTTTCTTTCCTCTAGATTCTGCTTTTTGTGTTTAATTTTCTGTTAAGTTACTATTCTTGGGTCTAGAATTACTATTTGGGATAAAAGTGTAGTTTTTTTGTCAAATAATAATAAAGATGATAAGGAGGGCCAATAATTCATCTTTTTATTGTTCTACGTACAATAAGAATCAACCCATACCAGATACTTGGGGAAGGTCTAAACCCTCCTCTGTAAACCCGTTGTCTTATACATGCAATTAACCATATGTGGGGGTTGGGGTCTTGGTTCCAGGGAGTTAATTATATTAACTACCATTTATGACCATTTCTAATCGTCATTATTTGATTCCTGCTATCACCTACTGCTGATGTCTTTATTTAAACATCACACTTGGACAGCCTATAGGGCAGTTCTACTCTGTCCTACAGGGTCGCTGAGTCGGAATCGACTCCATGTTTTATAGCAAAAAGAAAATATAGTGTGATATTTAAATAAACTAAATTTTATTTAAATAAACTAAGTTTTCCCTAAAACACTAGAATAGTATACAATTCAGATTTACTATTTAGTACATAATCTTTTTTTTTCTTTTGAGTTACCCTTCTGCCCCCGCAGTGAGCAGCAAATAATAAGCATGTTCATTTTTCCCTCCAGGTCAGGCGAGAGCCTTCTCCCCTCGGGGGTCTTCCCAACAGCATACCTGCAGCGGTGAGAGTGGCAAGTTAAAAAATATTAATCAATACGAATGGGTGACTTTTAAGGAAAAAACTGTCGGTACTTGAACCACTTAACAATAACACCCCATAGTTTAAAACCTTAAGCTGATTTCAGCTGAACGCTGAGCAATTTATTCCAATGAGTTACAAGTGGCTTTGCGGAGTTCGAGTCGCCCTTATTGCACCAGTTTGTCAGACGTTACTCTTTTCGTCCACTATCCCACATTTTCAGCGTCCCAGGAGCGGAAGAAGTGAGCCCAGGCTCCGGGCCGCCGCGGGCTCCTGGCGGCTGCACTTGACTGTTTCATCAGCACCGCGAAAGACCAGGGCCGAGAGGGGATGAATGTTATTCCTGAGCCTTCGAGGTGAAAGATCCAATCTGGACCTGCAGAAAAGGAAAAACTACCCCGAAGGCCGTATGCTGCCCTCCCCGCTTCACTTCCCCAAGAACTTCCCGGTGCCTGGCCAACCTCCACACCCTGCCAAACACCAGCCTTTCCAGCTCGCGCCCTCTCAGCAGCGAGGCGGCACTGCGGCCACTTCTTCCGGGATCCTAGCCACGCCCCACGCCGCCACCAGCACCACCCCCCGGCCACACCCCTTACCCCCTGCGCCCGGTTGTGTGCGCTGCGCCTGCGCGCCTCCAGGAGAGCCTGGAGGGGCGGACCAGGCGGAAGGGGCGGGGCTAGGCTGCACTTCCCCGGTCTCAGGCGGGTGAGTATGAGGGGCGGGAGCAGAGGGCCGCGTGCGGGAGTTGGGGCCGCGCTCCCGCCCGGGTCGCGGGGTTACGGAGGGCCAGTCCCGGCGTCGGGGGCGCCCCCTGCAGGATTGAGGTGGGGGAGGAATAAAGGATGTTAAATGGATGATGTTAGGGGTGCGGCATAGTAGGGGGACAGGCAGGTGTAGGCAAATGGGTTAAGAGGCAAAGTTCTTGTTTGGCTTTTCCTTAGCAAAGAAATGCCCTGTAAACAGTGTTTTAAAATTTTCATTATTTTGGACAGGTTGATGAGCTGGCGTCTTTGGTAAGGCGGCTCGTCCCTTGCTGCCCCCAAGCCCGGCGACTGGTTGTTTTTAACCCGAGCTGTCGAGTAGGTTCTGACTCATAGCCACCCTATAAGACAGAGTAGAACTGTCCCATAGAGTTTCCAAGGAGCAGCTAGTGGATTTGAACTGCTGACCTTGTGGGTAACAGTCGAGCTCTTAACTACTACACCAATATATATCTGTATCTATATATATATAAATAGAATTCAGATTGGAAGCCACAAACGGTACCTCCAGGTTCTGTTAAGTAAACCGTGATTGGGGCAAGGGTTGGGTCGCTTCCAACAGAGAACGATGCTCTCATCAAATAATATGTACTTCCTAATTAGAAAATGAAAAGCAACCTAAGCCAAAGTGATAGGGTAGAATTTTCTACTCATTTTATTACCTTTCTTAAGAGTTGTACCCTAATACATTTTGGAAAACAGGAATAAAAATTTTTCTAAGTGAGTAGAAAACTGGAAGTTTCCTGCAGGTTTGTGTGGGATTCTTAATTATTTTTGGGTAGTTTACAATATCTAGAATATATTATTACATAGTAAACACTTCATATAGGTTTGTGTTCAAAGTGTTGCTGTTGTTGTTAGGTGCCGTCAATTCTTTCCGGACTCATCGTGACCCTATGTACAACAGAATGAAACACTGCCAGGTCCTGTGCCATCCTCACAATGCTTGCTGTGTTTGAGCCCATTGTTGCAGCCACTATGTCAATTTGTTTCATTGAGGGTCTTCTTCTTTTTCATTGACCCTCTACTTTACAAGTATGATGTCCCTTTTCAGGGACTGAGCCCTCCTGATAACACGTCCAAAGTACATGAGATGAAGTCTCACCATCCTTGCTTCTAAGGGGCATTCTGGCTATACTTCTTCCAAGAAAGATTTGTTTGTTCTTCTGGCAGTCCATGGTATATTTAATATTCTTTGCAGATGCCGTAATTCAAAGGCATCAGTAGTTCTTCGGTCTTTCTTATGCATTGTCCAGCTTTCACATGCATATGAGGCTATTGAAAATACCGTGGCTTGGGTCAGTGCACCTTAGTCCCCAAAGTGACGTCTTTGCTTTTCAACACTCTGAAGAGGTCTTTTGCAGCAAATTTGCCCATATGGTATATGGCATTTGATTTCTTGACTGCTGCTTGCATGGGTGTTGATTGTGAATCCAAGTAAAATGAAATCCTTGACAACTTCAATGTTTTCTCCGTTTATCATGATGTTGCTTATTGGTCCAGTTGTGAGGATTTTTGTTTTCTTTATGTTAAGGTGTAATCCATACTGAAGGCTGTAGTGTTCGATCTTCAACAGTAAGTGCTTAATGTCCTCTTTACTTTCAGCAAGCAAGGTTGTGTCATCTGTATATCACAGGTTGTTCGAGTCTTCCTCCAATCCTGATGCTGCGTTCTTCTTCATACAGTCCAGCTTCTCTGATTATTTTCTCAACATACATTCCTGTGGTGAAAGGATACAACCCTGACACACACCTTTCCTGATTTTAAATCACGCAGTATCCCTTTGTTCTGTTTGAACATACTGCCTCTTGGTCTGTGTACAGGTTCTTCATGAGCGCAGTTAAGTGTCCTGGAATTCTCATTCTTCGCAATGTTATCCATGATTTGTTATGATCCACACAGTCGAATGCCTTTGCATAGCCAGTAAAACACAGGTAAACATCTTTCTAGTATTCTCTGCTTTCAGCCAGGATCCATCTAACATCAGCAATGATATCCCTCATTCCATGTCCTCTTTTGAATCCAGCTTGAATTTCTGGAAGTTCCCTGTTGATGTACTGCTGCAACTGTTTTTGAGCATAATTTTACTTGCATGTGATATTTATGCTATTGTTAGATAATTTCCCCATTCCATTGGATCCAAGTTCATCAGTTACATGTTCTGCCTTCTACCAAACATTTGAATATGATTCAGACAAGTTCTTTGCCACTGCATGAAAAGCACCGCCCTTCCTCCATTGTCCAATCACATGTTCATTATTTTCATTTAAAGCCTTACCAGAAGCACATCTAATGTTCACATTTCTAGCAACATTCTGTTGCTGATGCCGTATGTATTCTCTAAGACGATAGAGACTTTCTCTATAGCCCTCCTTACTTCCTTCAGAGCCTTAAGAATCACCATTGACGTTCATAATTCTAGCAACAGTTTCTTCAAGGCAATCTAGGCTTTTACTATTAGGCATCTTAAAACTCTTCCGGCTTCTACCCATTACCCAATTCCAAAACTGCTTCTGCATTTTATGTATCAGTTACAGCAGCACCCCCACTTCTTGGTACCAAATTCTGTCTTAGTCATCTAGTACTGCTATAACAGTAATACCGCAAATGGATGGCTTTAACAAACAGAAATTTATTTCCTCACAGTTTAGGAGGCTAGAAGTCTGAATTTAGAGCACTAGCTCTAGGGGAAGGCTTTCTCTTTCTGTCTGCTCTGGAGGAAGGTCCTTGTCTCTTCAGCTTCTGCTTCTGCTTCCTTGGAGATCTCCATGTGTCTTGGCATCTATCTTACCCCCATCTCTCTCTCTCTCCTCCCTTGTTTAATCTCTTATATCTCAAGAGATTGATTCAAGATACACCCTACAGTAAACCTGCCTTATTAACCTAACAGAGACAACCCATTCTCAAATGGGATTATAACCACAGGCATAAAAAAAAAAAAAAAAAAAAGTTGCTGTCGAGTCGATTCCGATTCGGAGCTACCCCGTAGAGTTTTCAAGGAGCAGGCTGGTGGATTGGAACTGCCAACCTTTTGGTTAGCAACCAAGCTCTTAACCACTGTGCCGCCAGGGCTCCAACTACAGGCATAGAGGTTAGGATTTACAACCCATATTTTTGGGGGACACAATGCAATCCATAATATAGGGTGTGGGAATTATTGGAGGAGCCTGAGGAGGGCAGTAAGGAGATCACGTTCATGTTTCAAGATGAGTCTTGCTGTGAAGTCTGAGAGGAAGGGTTGAAGAGAAGAAAGAGATAGAAGAGAAGTGAAAGGTCCCTTACAGTTCATTAGCACCTGGTTCTGTGCCAGGCTGTCTCATATACACTATCTCATTTCATACTCACTGTGACCCTGATGTGTAGATCTTAATGTTTCCATTTTGTACTTGAAGAAACTGAATATGAGAGACTGCCCAGGTCTAGGGTGGTAGCAGTGGGAATGAATCAAAATGTCTAAAGGTGGTGGGATTTAGAAACATGGATGGAGACTTCCCAAGCAGATGAAAACTTAAAAGTAGAAATTGGAAAATCTGAGTCTTACTGGAAAAATGATAAAAGGCAAAGTAGATAGACAGCATTAGAGAATCCCTGCATGAATTTAGTGTGTGTTCTGTGTTACTCTTATATAACAGTGACCTATTTAAAACCTTGGTTAAAAAGCCACCCTGCTCTACAAAAATTTCCTGAGATTATTAATTAAAAGAAGAAAGGAAAGCCTTCTATAGGGGCGGTGGGAGATGGTGAACAGATGAATGGCATTCGATAGTTTATCGTCAAGTCATAGTGATTAGCTCTGAGAAATGGAAACACATCGCAGTGCCTCTCTGAGTCGTGCTGCTCCACAGACACTGACCTAATATATTGATTTTGGAAATCCTGTATGCTTTTTCTTGCCAGAGTAGTTATTGAAATTGAGAATATTCATTGGCTCAATTTCAAGACAAATATCCCAAGTCACACTGGCTGCTGCTGAGCAAAGTTTTAATGAAGGAAAATATCCATATATTGAAATTAGACTTTAAAAAGAAAGCCCTGAAAATAAATATATATTTACTGTAAAATCTAGAAAAATGTACGATTTCAAAACATTGATTAACTGACTACTCAGTGTAGTGGAACTATTGACCCATGCAAAATTATGGCATTTGTTCATTCATTTCTTCTGTGAGCCATCATATACTGTGGATACAAAGATAACTCACTATCTAGAGAAAGACTGACATCTTAAAAAATGATCACAGAACTGTAATCAGCGCTATAATAGATGTGGCCAGTGCATGATGGCAAGAGGAGGGAGAGGTGACTGAAGGGTTGGGGAAAGGAGACCAGTGAACTATTAATAGAGGAGACACTTGGTTCTTGAAGCTGAGGAGGAATTTGTGAGATGATTAAAGGAGAGAAGAGCATTCTAAGCAGAAGGAACATCATGGACAACAGTCAAGGTGTATAAAAGAGCATTTCTCTATCTGGGACCCTTGTGCAGATCAGAATAGTTAGAGCAATTTGGTAAAAGTGGAGGAGGAGAATGGATTAAGTTGGAGAGGTAGACAAGGGCACTCAATAAAGAGTATGAAATATTTATGTAATGGCTGTCTTCTTAGCTGGGTTGTAAACTTCACCAGTGTGTTCCAAGGCGTGGCACAGTGCCTAGGAGTTAGTAGATTCTCAATAAATATTTGTTGAATGAATGAATTACTGAAATACAGAAAAGAAACTTTTATTTTTTTACCATAAGGCAGAGGGAACCTTATAAGTGTGTAAAGCAGAGGAGTAATATCAGCTTTGGATTTACATTTTATGAGAATAAGTGGTGGTATGGAAGATGAATTAATAATGATTATAGAGGTGGCTATAGTAGATCAGAGTTTTTCAAGCTTAAGGTTATACCCATTGGTGGGTTGGAATCATCATTTTGAAAAATGGACTAGAATAGAAAACAATATT